TCCAGGAGGGTTTGGCGGGATCAGGGGGGCTTGCAAGGTCTGTGGGGGTGGGAGTTGTGAGAATGGAGAGCTCTCTCCTCCACCGCCAGGACCAGAGGGTATTTTTAGCCCCCCAACCTCCACACCCTGAGGTGAACAGCCCTCTGATCTTGCCTGTCCCATGTCCCCACCCCAACTTACCTGCTTAGCTCCCAGCAATGGTGAATGCTTGTAAAACTCGCACTGGGAGCAGTTTATGGAATGGGAGAGGGGTGTTGGTAGCTTTGTTGGGGAGTGGGGCTGGTTGGTTCTTTGGAGGGGATTGTCCATTTGGGGGTGGGGGAAGAAACGGGGGGGGGGCTAAAAATTGCCCAGTTCCAGAAAGAAGGGTAGGAAAATCTTAGCTCCAGGGTTGGGGGCAGCAGCTGGGCTTTCCTAGCCCTGGGGAAGGGCTGGGAGATTCTGTGGGGACTTTATAGTGGGCACTGTACAGCAAAGTTCAGGATAACTAGATCAGTCAGGGGTACCCTGCCTCTGAGGTACACCTAACTTAGACTGGCTTGGCAGGGTTAAATTAGGTCAGGTTGGCCATTTTTAGATGGATCTAACTATCCTGAACTTCTGTGCAGTTCACAGTTAGATCCACCTAACTAATGTAAGTTCCGCACCTGGGTGAACTAAGTTAGATCGGGAGGCCATTTTAAATGCTATCTAATCGCCTCATAGCCTCCTCTAACATCTGCACCTAGCCTAGATGTCCAGCTTATGAAACTATTTACAACAACTATTTACATCAACACATGCTCACACAAAGACCCTCCAAGTGTTCTGCACCAGAGCTGCAGGCTGGAACTCAGAGGCAGGCTGCCTCTTTTGTCACAGTCTAATCCTGCAATCCTTCTGGAGCCAGGCTTCCCAGCCCCTCTTCCTGCCCTGGCTGGGCAGTCAGCAGTGCTTACTGCATCCTACTGGCCCTGTCCAAGAACCCCATCTTGACTGTAGCCCCCCCTTTTCTAAGTCCTAGATCTGCTATTGACTGTGTAGGACTCCTGGCAAACTCCAATTGAGTACAGCAATATTGCAGCCTCTAAAGTCAAAGCTGCAATAAATATCTAAACAGCTCATCTTTTATACATCTCATGGACTTGAGGGTGGCAGCTTGGGCCCAGGGGTTTTGTAAAGTTAAAAAATGATTGAGGGAGGGATTTCCTTTTCCCTGCCAACCCAGTCCTTGAAAAGGGGAAGGCTTGCCCCCGCTTCACGCAGGAGCTGGGTAGAGAAACCAGACCTGAGTGAAGACTCACCTCCCATGTCCTCCAATTGGCCCACTGGTGACCTGGAGGGGGATAAAAGGGGAAATGCACCAGGCTCAAGGGGAGTTCAGTGAATTCCCAAGAGGAGGCAACTGCAAGGATTCCCAGGCAGCGATAGGGACTTGACCACGTCTTCCCTTTCCTGGCATGGGGCTGGCTCTGGTGTACAGGTCGGTACATGGAGGGTCCTGGGCCTGCACCAGGCAGCCTGAGGTGCTGATGTCCCCCACAGAAGAAGGCAGGGGCACTCAGGCATGGGAGGGAGCTCGGGAGGGAGCTGGGAGGCACCAAACCCTGAGCTGAGGGCAGCAGCTTGAGCTTGGGGTTTTACCAGGCAGCTGACTAAATGTGCAGATGGTACACAAGCGGGGATCCTGGAAGAACTAGAGCCCTGGAGTTGCCAGCAGAAGCACCAGCATTAGTAGTTCAGTGGTAGAGCTCTCACTTACCATGTGGGAGACACGGCATTTGATTCCTGGCCAAGGCATTTTGCGGGGGGGGATCCTCTGTGGGAGCTGGGTTCTTCATCTCTTTTCTCCCCCTGGCCATCCTGGAGTGCCCATGTCTTATATTTTGTTAACCTGCTCCTTATATTTTGTTAGCCTGGGCCTTATATTTTGTTAGCTTGTCCTGTTGGTTGAATGAGTACGCTTAACCATTGTTGAAGTCTCCTGTTCCCCTGGGTACAGGAGTGTACACATTACTCCCTGGTATCTATGTTATGTCCCAACCCCTGTCCCCCCTCATTAAATGGTATATGATTAAGACCTTATGGATGTTCTGACTCTTTTCTATAGAGAGTAGGAGGAGTGCTGCGCACCTCAGGCAGCTCCATCTCCTACAGCTCTCCGGCACCAGCTCTGATCCCTTCAACTGGAGAGTGGGTATGCCTCTGGGTACCACCCGGGTTACATACAGCAACCTCTGAGAATTGAATATATTCTGCACCACCCAGATGTGAAGGATCCAGTTTCCACTGTTTCTAGTGTTAGAATCAGCAATTGCCACCCAAAAACCAGATGGAAAAATCTCCATCTCCTTAGTTAAACTAAAAAAAATGGATAAGCTAGGCATTGTGCCTTGTACATCTGCAAAGGGAGAGACTGGTAAATAACCAGAGCAGGAGGCTTCTGCACAGGGAGCCTGACACACAAGGTGCTTCTTCTCAGCCTCAGTGTTTCAGGCCTCAGTTCTCAAAGAAGAATGAAGTTGTGCAATGAGATATCCCACTGTAATGCATTAGCAGAAGTGCAGAGGCTCCATAGAAAATCTATTTCTTACTAAATCTTACTGTATCTTATGCATGTGTTTTGTACTGATACTCTCAATATTAATTCTATGGCAATATTTTATACGAGACCAGTCTTCAAATATCTAAAGGCTTGACATAAAGAAAAGCAAAATATGTGTAGAATAGACATGAGGAAAAACTTATTTGCTATTACAATAGTGAGGCTATGGAATAGACTGCCTAGGGGAGTTGTGGAATCTCCATCATTAGACATGTTCAAGAAGAGTGAAAGCATTGATCAGGGATGATCTAGGAGTAGCTATGCCTATGTTCTACTATGAGTATTTCCCCTGCTTTTGGGCTTCAGCTGTTGCCACATAGGGCCAGAAACAAATTTTATCCTCTTCCTATCACTACATGTGTTGGTGGGGGAGAGTTTCACCTTCCTCAAAAGCATTGGGTGCTGGCTGTGGCCAAGGCTGGGGATTTTGACTGCAGTGTGCCAGTGATCCTGCTGAGAGTTAAACCTAGAGGTTCCTGGATAAATGGTCCTGATTTAACTGGGTGCATCTACACGTGTCCCTGACTGTGCAGTTGATACTGTGCAGTCATTTAGTACTTGCTTTATTGTATATCTAAAGCAAGTACTAAATGACTGTGTGGTATCCACCAGTACTGAGCAGTCCCGGTGGTGCTTGAGTCATTTTCTACCCTGCTGCACAGTAGCAGTGAGCTACTGTGCAGTTGCCCACTACTACTGTACAGTAGCAGTGGTGGCATGGGTGGTGCCTGCTGATGTACATTGCTGTACCAATGTTGCTGTGGCAACGTAGCATCTCATGTAGACATGCCCACTGTGAGCTGGTGTGATCTGGCACACAGAGCCATCTTATCTGGCCTGCTGGGCTCCCCATGGATCTGGATATTTGGCAGCAGGGGAGCAACAATTAATGCTGCCACTCCCAGGGCCGGCCCACAATCTTTTGGGTCTCCCTTGCAAACTATATTTTTGGAACCCCCAGGTGTGAAGAAGCCAGTGTTGGGGGGGTGAGGGGTGGCGAGTGGCTCAAGAAGCTGGTGGCAGCAGCAGCAGTGGTGGCAGTGGCGGCAGACTTGGGGGAGGGAGGGTGAGAGCCTGGATGTGAAGCTGGTGGCGGCATTGGTGGGGCGAGGGGTGTGGCAAGTGTCTGGACGCAGGGGGCCTTTTGGCTGCAGAGCCCCCTGCGGCTGCAGGTTTTGCAGGATAGGATGGGCTGGCCCTGGTTGCTCCTCCCCTGCCTCCAAATTTCTAGACCGCTGTGGAGCCCTGCAGGCCAGGTGACACAGTTCCCTGGGCTGGATCTGTCCTGCAATCTGGGGTCAAGCACCCTTGGGTTAGAGAAAAGGCTCCAGCCACTTGTGCTGTAGTGTTAGTTCCAAAGACTATCGTATTCTATGGTATCCCTTGTTTTTTTCAATGCTTCTCTTCTCATCCTTTTTGAGAGTTCCTAGAAGCTTTTGCATTGGCTTAAGTGGTTTCAGGATTTTACCCTTTGCATAGGTCTGTAAGGTCCCTGCCACACGTTACGTATATTATACAACTAACTGGTTAATTGTACAATAAATTTAGACCAGCTACGCATGTAAAGTAATTATCACACCATGAAAATGTTCATCCAGCTATAAAAAGAGCTAATCAGCTACAAAATGAGAACTTGAAAATCTGTAATAACCTTATAGCTGGTTTCTACCCAGCTTTAATTTGAACATGCAGCAGGGCCCTAAACTGACACTCAAACTAATCAGGTTATATGAATACAAACCTGAAAACTATTAATAACTCATGATGCTCTCCTTAAACAAAAAACTGTATCTTATGTAAGCTGCCCTCACATGACTACCAGATGGTAAAAACTCCTTAGCCTCTATCCAAATGTAACAATGGGCTAGCCAGGGGCCCAGCACAGTGACAACTCTCATTCCAGATCTCAACACTTCACATCTCAGGTCTCAAAGAATGATAAGGTTGTATAATAAAAATAATCCCATTGTAGCATATAAACAAAATGGCGAAGCTCCTATCAGAAAAGCATCCTGTGGTTGACCAACCAAAGAAAAACCTGGCATTGGTGTTATTTTTTTGTTTATCAATGGATTATGTCCATGTACTCTATGCACTAATTCTCCTGCAAATTTTTACATGTGGTATTTTAAAGTTACATAACCATTTTAACTTAAGCAAGTATTTAATTTCTTTGTTTTCTTCTTTGGACTTTCTTCCCTTGACTTTCCTGGTCAGCAGTATGACCTTAAGTAACTCCAGTGGTTGTTGGTCCATACTGTTTGTTTGGACCTACGTCGCTACAGATGAAGAAGGTGGAGTCAAGTTTTGCTCATTTGGTTCAAAAGAAAAATAATCCTCTATTAAAAGCTAAGCTGGGACTCTGCTTACACAGAACTTCACATCCAGCACAAGAGGAGAGAGCGTGAGAGAAAGAGAAGGATGGCAAAAAACAGGAAAGTATTTATTGATCTGGTAGATAAGGCAATTGCTACTGGTGACACAATGAAGAGTGAAGATCTGCTATTTTCCTACAAGGGGATCTTCTACCCAGCTACTGTTTGTAGTCCTGAGCAATTCAAAGCTTTGGAGGCATTTGAAGCAAGAAGTGATGATGTCATCCTAGCAGGGTACCCTAAATCTGGTGAATATGGTTTACTTTATTCATAAATATAAGGTGTAATATAATTACAAATGATTAGGATATATTAAAACCACTGAAATAATTATCTCAGATTTTAATAAATCACTTTAGTTAGTGAGATATAAAGGAGATAGTTCAGATGATCATGAGGTAACAAATGGTCTCAAATTAGAAATATCATTGTTAAAGTATGGCTATGGACACATCAGAAAAATCAAAGTATGTTTATCATAGTAAAAATGGCTTGTACACTGTTTTGCATCTGTTGCAACATTTATATTTGCAAAATTCAAATGTAAGTCTTTCATAAAATTAACCATTTGTTTTCTTGAGGTGCAATATTTTACCTTGTTTAGATTTTTAATTTAGTTTCCTATGAAAAATGTTTAGTTTGTGCCGATTCTTGAGAAAATTAAATATTGGGATTGGGATATCATGCAAAATTCGTTAATGCATAGTCTTCCATGATTGTTTGTAATTCCCTCTATCCCGCCCCACTGGTTGATATCACTGAAAGTTATTCCCCATGAAACTCTAGAAGATAGAATTTATTTCCATAGGAAATCAGAGTAGCCACAAGCTTAAGATTTAAAAAAGAATACAAGAGTTACAAGGATTTGAAAACTATCCATGGTTATAAAAATTATAACAATTATTTCCAAAGGGAAAGTAAGCCTCATGGCACAAGAATTTCATCTTTCTCTCACTGTTAGAGACCAGGGTGAAATGTAATATGGGGCTGTGGAGGGACATGGGTATGAAAAGGGAAAAACAGTTTGGAGAGAGTTTCTGAAAGGCTATCTAGATCTGCCTGAAAGAAAGTAATTTGATCTGCTTTCTTTGTGTAATTCAAGATAGTGTTCCATCTTGCTTAGCTTCTAATGAAGCATGAAATGGGTTGAGATGAAATAGGCCTGTTGGATATTTCTTTTTTTTCAAATTATTTTCTCTTATGTACTACCCCATTACTAATATGTATATTGGTTTTAAGAAAGCCATTGGTCACTAGGGGTATGTCTACACTGCTGTATCTACAGTGTTTCTTAGGCACAGCCTAGACATCTGCCTTCACTCGCATCTTCAAACTCAGAGATGTATGGCCAAGACAATGGGGCCCTCCCCAGTGACTATTCTAAAGCATACCCTAAAGTAGGGGTGGGCAATTATTTTGGGCAGAGGGCCACTTACTGAGTTTTGGCAAGCTGTCGAGGGCCGCATGGGTAGCACTTGACAGGTGCCCCACCCCCTGGTCACCATCTTGTGACTGGAAGTCCCACCGCCCTAACTACTGACCTTTGCTACCAGAAGTCCCTCCCCTTACCTCCAGAAGTACTCCTTTCAGCAAGGGTTTTTGCCATCTTGGAACCAGAAAAATACCAAATTATATTCTAAAAAATGAATACCTAAAATATTCATTAATTTGATTTCAAAAATTATTTTTGTCCTGGTTTACATGTGTTTGTGTAGTGTACATAGAGGTGATTGTATATAATAGCTTAAAATTAAGTCTTACTTTTGTATATTGAATGCGTGTTGGGGGTATACGTTTGTGGGGGGCTGTGGGTGTGTGGGCTGTGGGGAAGGGTGTGGCTGTGTCTGTACAGGGTGGATATGTGTGGGGGTGTGGGGTGAGGGAGCATGTGGGGGTGTGTGTGGATATGTGGGGGGTGGGGGAGTTTGGGGTTTG